TTGTCCAGGGGAAATTTTGATTCTCTCTCTTCAACTCTGTTTTCAAAGTGAAGTAAAATGGAGTGTTAATCAGTTCAACACCAGTCAGTCTGGATAGTTAAATTCTACCACCTCTGTTCACCATCTATCCTGGGTCCCTGTTCTTTCTCTCCTCTCCACCCCAAACACATAGAGAAACACGAAGTCTTTTAATCTCAGTGATTGATTCTTACGTCTAACATGGTCTAGACATTTACATCTGTTCCCCACTTAGATCCTCTGTGTATGTGTCCATTCATCCCAGAGAGTAATTGTGTATTCAAAAGACCATGACACAAGAACAGAAGACAAAACTGTCATTAGTAACCATATCTGCTGTTGTTTAGTATTTCTTATAACCCAGGGTTTCTGTTAGGTGCTTTATACAAGTTACCATATTTAATTCTTTTACCAACCAGTTAGGAGTTGAATTCTGTTCCCCCCGTAAAAAGATACACTGGAGTCCTAGCTCCCAGTACCTCAAAGTGGGACCTCGTGTGGAGAGGTCTTGACAGAGGTGGTTAGGTTAAGGTGAGGTAGGAGGGTGGACCCTAATCCAGTCTGGTATCCTTATAAAAAGAGGAAATTTGGGCCCAGAGACACAAACAGGAAAGATACCAGGTGACTATAAAGACAGCCGTCTACCATCCATGGGGAGTGGCCTGGAGCAAACCCTCCCCTCACCGCCCTCAGAAGGAACCAGCCCTGCTGACAACTTGAACTCAAGCATCCAGCCTCCAGATGGTGAGACAACACAGTTCTGTTGTTGAAGGCGCCCGGTCCGTGGTACTTTGTTATGGCAGTTCTAGAAAATGAATGCACAGACTTACAATTTAAGTCAGTCTCTCTCTTTTTATTGAAGTACAGTCAGTTACAATGTGTCAATTTCTGGTGTTCAGCATTGTGTTTCAGTCAGACATATACACACATATATTCGTTTTTACATTCTTCTTCATTAAAGGTTACTACAGGATATTGAATATAGTTCCCTGTGCTATAGAGAAGACATTTGTTCTTTATCTATCTTTACATATAATGGCTAACATTTGCATATCTTGAACTGCCAAATTTATTGTTTCCCATTCCCCTTTTCCCCTTGTAACCATAAGAGTTTTTACTATGTCTGTGAGTCTGTTTTTGTCTTGTAGATGAGTTCATTAGTGTCCTCTTTTTTTCATTTTCTTTTTTAGATTCCACATATGAGTGATATCATATGATATTTTTCTTTCTCTTTCTAGCTTACTTCACTTAGAGAGATGATCTCTAGGTCCATCTGTGTTGCTGCAAATGGTATTGTTTTGTTATTTTTTATACTGAGTAGTATTCCATTGTATATATACACCACCACTTCTTTATCCGGTCATCTGTTGATGGACATTTAAGTTGCTTCCATGTCTTGACTATTGCATATAGTGCTGCTATGAACATTAGGGTGCATGTATCTTTTCGAATTAGAGTTCCCTCTGGGGATGCCCAGAGTGGATTAGATGCCCAGGAGTGGATTACTGGATCACATGGTAAGTCTATTTTCAGTTTTTTAAGGACCGCCATACTGTCCTCCATAGTGGCTGCAACAAACTACATTCCCACCAGCAGTGTAGGAGGGCTCCCTGTTCTCCACACCCTCTCCAGCATTTATCTTTTGTGGACTGTTTAATGATGCCCATTCTAAGTCAGTCTCTTTCTATAAACGAAGGGCCTGAGGTTTAGGAAGATGAAAGGCCTTACGCAGAGTGCCGGGGCCGTGGTGGGGGGCTGTCATTCAGCACAGATCCATTCTGCGCTGAAGCCTGCGCACTTGCTGCAGTGTTACGCTGCCTCCACCCGAAGCCTGCACGTGGGCTTACTGAGGATCGTGGAGTTATGCAGTCAAGGGATTTTATATTGTTATTTCCTAGGAGAGGTTTCTGAAGACCCACTTCTCCACGTTTTGGGGGCGAGTTTTCACAGAAAGCTCAAGAAGTAGATGGAGCCAGCAACCTGGTTGGGGAAGGCAAGGTTATGTAAGTGCCTCGCATGTGATATCTGGGACATGCTTGTACTAATTTTTTCCCCATTGTCTATCTGAAATTCAAATGTAACTCAGATTTCTCTATTTCTAGTGGCCGAATCTGGCCGTTAGCAGTTCTACCCCAGGAGAACTTGGAGCTTGGGGCCCCAGTCCCCAGCGGCACGGGAGTGACAGCCCAGAGGGAACAGCAGACATGTCGACAGCTCAACCTGCTCGGGTAAAGTTCCTGAATTCCTGGTAGGTGCTTCCCAGAGCTCAGTAAGTATGGCCTATTATTGTTACAGCAATTGGGAAACACACTCTTAGGTCCCAGGAGAAGACGCAGGGGTGGTGGAGGGGAAGGCAGCGGGAAGAAGGGGCTAATGTTATTGTTCCAGGGTGGATCAGCACTGACAAGGCTTCTATAAAAGACGGGTGGGACATGCTGGTTTAAGGAACGAATGTCTCCCAAATCCAGCCTTCTTGGGAGTCTCATGAGGCCTGGGCCAATGGCATGAAAGAGCAGAGTGGTAACAGCACAGAGGACTAAGGCCAGAGATGCAGAGGCCCGCCGCGCCTTCTCCTTAGGGGCGTTAGGAAGAGAGATCCAGTAGGTGTGTGAGAGACACAGGAATGGATGGCTTTTAACTTAAGTGGAGTGAAAACAGATTACTGCGTTGGAAAACTGCTGGGAAGCCAGCCACCAATTAAAACACCAGAAAAGTCCTCGCTGTTGAATGAAACTCAAGACAAGCATACAGGGATCTTTCTGAACCAGCTTATGCCTTCTGAGTTCACGGCTAAACCCTCCTAATTAGCAGTGAGAAGTCTTTGGATAGTGGAAAGGACGCCCCCAAGACCCCCCCAGCCCCCAAATTAAGTCAAAATGGTGGTCACAAAATTGGCACCTTACTGATCACTCGCCATTTTTTTCCTTTAAAAGATACTTTTACTTCTGGGCTTACGCAATGTGTTACAGAACCCGGCGAGTATTTCCACAGCAGCAAGTTCCTGTCGGCTCAGGAGTCATAAAGTGTATCTGTAATTTTCTCTCTGATGATTGGCACAGGAACTGGAAAATTGGCAGGAATAGGTGATGACTGACAGTTTCTACCTGGCAGCTTGTCTGCTTTGTGAGTGACTCTGTGATCAGCTTCACACAGTTTTTAGGCTCCATCCACAATGAACATGGCCTTGCATAACCGCTGGTCCCGAAGCCCAGCCCCACACCAGCTGCCCCTTAGAGCAATGTTGTGTGCCGGTCATATGTGTCCTGGCCCGAGGTAGCCAGAGTCCGCATTGCTTGCTTTAAGGAGGTGACTGTGGGTTGGTGGAAGCAGTAGCTAATAACATTTGTCACTTTTTAGTGATGTGTTGACACAAAATGGAGATACCTATTTGTAGTCAAGTGAGCTGTAACCCTGTAAATTCTTTGCATCACTGCTACACCTTTGTGAGAAAAAGATACAATTTTTATTTTAAGAAATGAGACATAAAACCAAAGAGCTAAATGCTCACAGTATGAAAGCTAAATAAGCCATTTATGATGTCCTCAGATACCTAAAAGTTTTTGTGATCTGCTCAAGATTTTCCCTAATTTGAACTAATGGTGTGTTAAGTTCGCATCAGAGTGATTATACCCACCACAAAACACTGTAAGGGAAATGTCACCAAAAGAGAACTAGAGTGACACTATAGGAAAGTACTTCTCCACATTAAAGAACACACATAGAAACTTTTCTTATTAATAATTTGAACTAAATTTCAAATTTTAATTATTTTCCCAGATTGCCTAAAATTGAACTTTTTAAATAGCAAAATTGTTTTCATCAATTGTATAAGTTAATGTGCTAAACTGGTCAGGGAACTAAAAAGATTAAGCAACTCTTCTTGGGGATATTGCTCCATTTCAATGACAAAAGCATGTATGATCTTCCAGACAGAAAGTCAGCAAGGCAACCGAGGTCTCAGGTGACACAACAGAACAGTTACTTGATGTTTTCAGGACACTACAGCCAAAAAAACTCAGAATATACATTCTTCACAAGTGCCCACGGAACATTCCCTAAGATAGACCACATACTCTGACACAAAACAAGCTTCAACAAATGTAAGAGGACAGAAGTTATTTCAAACATCGTTTCTGACCACAGTGGCATGAAACTAGAATTCAACTACAGAAAGAGAAATGAGAAAAAAATAAAAGATTGCATGGAGATTGTTTTGCTACTTAACCAATGGATCAACAAGGAAATTAAAAAAAAATATCTTGAGACAAATGACAGTGAAAACAACCACACAAAATCTATGGGACGCGGCACAAGGAGTCCTAAGAGGGAGGTGCACAGGGACACAGGCCTTCCTCAAAAAGCAAGGCAAACACAAACAACCTAACCTCCCACCTAAAAGGATGAGAGAAAGAACAAACAGAACCTGAAGTGAACAGAAGGAAAGACATAATAAAGACCAGGGAGGAAATAAATAAAATAGAGATTAAGAAAATAGAAAAATCAATGAAACCAAGAGCTGGTTTTTTTAAAGAGTAAACAAAATTGACAAACCTCTGGCCAAGCTCACCAAGAAGAAAGGAGAGAGGACTCAAGTAAATAAAATAAAAAATAAAATAGGATAAATTATAACGAATGCTGCAGAAATACAAAAAACCATAAGAGAATACTATGAACAATTATATGCCAACAAATTGGACAATCTAGAAGAAATGAACCATCTTCTAGAAACATACAGTCCCCCAAAACTGAACCAAGAAGAAACAGAGAATTTGAACAGACCAAGTACTAGAAGTCAAATAGAATCAGTAATTGAAAAAAACTCCCTGCAAACAAAAGTCCAGGGCCTGATGGCTTCACTGGGGAATTCCACCAAACATACAAAGAAGAACTCATACTGATCCTTCTCAAACTCTTCCAAAAGACCAAAGAGGAAGGAACACTCTCAAACTCATTCTGTGAAGCCACCATCACCCCGATATCAAAACCAGACAAAGAACTATCAAAAAAGAAAATTACAGGCCAATATCTTTGATGAATATAGATGCAAAATTTCTTAACAAAATATTAGCAAATCAAATCCAACAGCACATAAAGATCATTCACTACAATCACATTGGGTTTATCCCTGGGACGCAAGGGTGCTTCGACACATGCAAATAATGAATGTGACACACCACATCCACAAAAGAAAACGCAAAAACCACACGATCATTTCAATAGATGCAGAAAAAGCATTTGATAAAATTCAATACCTATCAATGATTAAAAATTCTTACCAAAGTGGGTATAGAGAGAACATAGCTCAACATAATAAAAGCTCTTTATGACAAACCCACAGCCAGCATAATACTCAACAGTGACAAATCGAAAGCCTTCCTGCTAAAATCTGGAAGAAGACAAGGATGCCCACGGTCCCCACTTCCATTCAATATAGTCTTGGAAGTCCTAGCCATAGCAGTCAGATAAGAGAAAGAAAGAAAAGGGATCCAGATTGAAAGGGAAGAGGTAAAATTGTCACTTTTGCAGATGACATGATATTCTATATAGAAAACCCTAAAGACTCCACACAAAAACTACTAAACCTGGTGAACAAATTAATCTCTGACATTTCTTTACACTAACAATGAAACATCAGAAAAAGGAAAGTAAAAAAAACTTTTAAAATTGCATCAAAAATTACTTAGGGATGACTTATTATGCTGAAAACTATAAACATTGATTAAGAAAATTAAAGATGATTTAAAGAAATGGAAAGTTATCCCATGATCTTGGATTGGAAGAATCAATATTGTTAGAATGGCTGTACTCCCCAAAGCAATCTACAGATTTACTATGATCTCTATCAAATTACCTAGGGCATTTTTCACAGAACTAGAAGAAATAATCCTAACATTTGTATAGAGTCACAAAAGACCCAGAATTGCCAAAGCAATACTGAAGAAAAAGAATGATGCTGGAGGCTTATTCCACCCGGACATCAGACAATACCGCAGAGCTACAGTAATGAGAACAGCATGATACTGGTACAACCACAGACACGTGGATCAAGGGAACAGAACTGAGAGCCCAGAAATAAATCCACACACCTACGGTCAATTAATCCTCAGCAAAGGAGGCAAGAACATACAATGGAGTAAAGACAGTCTCTTCAGCAAGTGGTGGTGGGAAAGCAGGACAGCCGCATGTGAATCAGTGACATTAGAACCCTCCCTCACACCATACACAAAAATAAACTCAAAACGGCTTAAGGACTTAAACATAAGACGCCATAAATCTCCTAGAAGAGGACATAGGCAAACGTTCTGACATAACGTGTAGTAATGTTCTCCTAGGTCAGTCTTCCAAGGCAATAGGAATAAAAGCAAAAATAAACAAATGGGGCCTAATTAAACTTATAAGCTTTGCACAGCAAAGGAAACCATAAACAAGACGAGAAGACAACCTATAGAATGGGAGAAGACATTTGCAAATGATGTAACTGACAAAGGCTTAATTTCCAGAATTATACAAACAGCTCATACAACTCAAGAACAGCAAAACAACCAACAAACAAACAAAAAAAATAGAAAAATGGGCAGAAGACCTAAACAGACATTTCTCCAATGAAGACATACAGGTGGTCAATAGGCACATGAAAAGATGCTCAGTATCGCTAATTATTAGAGAAATGCAAATTGAAACCACAGTGAGGTATCACCTCGCACCAGTCAGAATGGCCATCGTTAAAAAGTTCACAAACGATAAATGCTGGAGAGAGTGTGGAGAAAAAGGGAGCCCTCCTACACTGCTGGTGGGAATATAATTTGATGGACCCACTATGGAAAACAGTGTGGAGATTCCTTAAAAAATTAAAAATAGACTTACTATATGAGCCAGCAAACCAACTCCTGGGCATATATCTGGAGAAAACTCTTAATTTCAAAAAACAATGCACCCCAGTGTTCACAGTAACACTATTTACAGTAGCCAAAACATGGAAGGAACCTAAATGTCCATCAACAGATGATTGGATAAGGAAGATGTCTTTATATATATATATATATATATAGAGAGAGAGAGAGAGAGAGAGAGAGAGAGAGTAATTAAATTGTACTTTAGTAACTATACAAGTATACTAATTAAAAATCTTTAGAGAGAGAGATTAAATTGACTTTGTAACTATCAAGTATACTATTAAAAATCTTTAAAATTAATGAAATCATTTCTAAGTGCACAATTAGTGCTTTAACAATTTAGATTATTTTTCCTTCTTTCCAACCAATCTGGTGTCATGAGGTTCATGGTGATTTCTCCTCAATTTTTCATGAAGTAACCCATGACCACTCAGGTCTTCTTGAAGGTACCTGAGACCAGCACCAACGGTGAGACGGATCCTCTGAGCCTGGTCTTTATACAACACAGTAAATTCTGACCCTACACCGATGATCTGGACTTTAGACAAGCTGACAGGTAATTTTTAATTAATTGTACAGAGTTGTAGTTGTGGTACATGGAGTTGACTTTTAAAACAGAAAATGAAAAGCCAGGATATGGACAGTCATCTGTGTCATATGACAGTCATATTTGTGATGAAACTATCCATTCAAGTCACAAGATAAAGCAAAATGTCCATTTTCTGTCACTTTTCAAATGGATTTTGACATCAGATATTTAGATGGGGGTCAATTGTTTAGTAACTTAGAATCGCTCTTTTTCTTCTTTATCTTTGTAACAATTCTCCTTCTCTTTGACTGATTTATTTCTAAAGATGTGTCCTTTAATCGTGATAAATGGGACGAAAGGGGTGAAATTCACATTGCCACTTCTATCCACGGCAATCCTGGCAAAAGTAAGGACGGGGAGGGTGTGACGCGATTGGCTACAGTTAACACCAAGTCTGTGTCCCTGAACAGAGCAGTCTCTCAAGAAATCTTCAGTTAGGGCCTCAG